TTCATATGATCACATTTCGTATAAGCATGAAACCAAGAATCTTGTAGGCTTTTAGCATGCCAGTAAAGTGGCCTTTTATGTCTTTTTACCCTACATATAAATGATGGTCAACTCCATTAGCAAATGCACAAGTTATTCATGAGTTTGTATACAGTTTTGTAATACCGTTTGTCAACAAACACCATGATTGTGAAATACCCTTTTTGCCCTCCACATTGGGAGCCAAGTGTTAGGATTCTCTTACACCGCTTGGATTGCTGTGGCCTTGTGGGGATGTAAATAGCAAATCAAGAATTCATGTTTCATAAAGATTTCTTGAGTTAGACTCTTAATAAAATGTGCTTAATTAGTGTGGTTCATTGTAACTGTTTCAAAGATTGCTTTTCGCATTTGGATTCACTTTTGTGTCGCATATGAAGAAGTACAAGCTTATAAGAAAAAGGAAAAACAAAAATTCAGTTTGGTGAAACTTAAAAAATAAATAAATAAGTTGAACATTAATAAGCCATGGGTTTTATTTTTGTAAAATATAGACGTAAAATCATGCATATGGCTTCCTAAATCTGATGATCGTTTGATGACATGAACTCCTGAAGCTTGACCTAAGCGTTATATAAAATAGTGGGTTAGTTTTTTTGATAGAGTTGGGCCTAAAACTTTTATGTTTATGGGCTTTATAAAGGCATGTTCCCTATCTTATGGGGTAAATACATGGTCTATGTGCAATCAATGGATTATAATGTGAGTTTTCTTTGATATCTTCTACAGGGTTAAATAGAGCTCCACAAAAAGACCTTTTATTGGTACTTAACATACATTGACATGTTTTAATCCTTGACTAACATCTCATAACCTTATTAACATGAGAAATTAAAATTCCAACTTAGAGATCAAATGCTTTAAAGCTTTGAAACCTTGTTCAACTCCATTAGTGATCATTTAAGCTTTTATGTTAATAACCTCAAATGATCATTAAATACTATTTATTATGATTCAGATGATCAATAAAACAATCTTATTATGTAATTTGAACTTTCAAATATGTAGAACCAAATCATAATCACAATTCCATGCCTAGAACTCCATTGAAGATCCTTTGAAAGCTTGAAATCCCAATAAGCTCAATAGAAGGTGCTAGTCCTAGATTTTGGATTCATTAAGTCAATATAAGGGAAATAAAATCCAAGTTAAAACAAGCACTAGATTCATATACTTTAATTCAAAGTTGAAATCCCAAACTCTATGGTTAGAAATTTCCCTAAAACATGATTTGGTCTAAACTTCAACTTGGAACAGAGGAATTGAAGCTGAAATTTGATCAAATACCTATGCATTCTTAAATCCCTATTATCTCAATTCCATCCTAAAATCATATTTATGAAATTTTCATAGAACTAGTGATGATATTTGGAGAAGACGATGAAGAAGTGTTTACACTCTGATGTTGTCTTATACAACATTTTCTTCCTTTGTTGGCATTAGTTGCTCCTTAGGTTTATCACTATAGAGGATTCCACATGCTAATTATTAAATGATAAATTAACATTTAGAATTAAACACATAACATCCTATGTCATATATCCTAGGCATATCCTAGTGTCATCATCATTATCTTCCTAATCATCTTTAAGCATTATAGTTTAAGTGCATATATAGTCTAAGTACATATACTAAAATAAGCATTAATCATCTTTAAGCATTATAGTTTAAGTGCATATATAGTTTAAGTACGTATACTAAAATAAGCATTTGGTTCACTTAAACATCTGGTTCACTTAAACGAACGTGTTGATACCAAATTGAAACAAAACTCTTTTAACTTAAATGATTAATTTGTTTTAAAATAATTTAACAATCTTTTAAAATTTTCTTTTGCAGAAGATACGGTCCCACACTCTTAAGTTGTTATAACATTCACTGTTCAAAAGATTATAGTAGAGTGTTTTCAATATGATATCATAACATCAACTAAAGGAACCACTACATAATCATAGCCTTCTAAACGTCTAGGTCTCCTTTACTATCTTCAAACACTACTCTCGAATTAATACATATAAAAATACATAACTTAGGCTAGACTTGCACAAAAAGACTCATCTCAAATCGGACCCAAAAGAGACCGAGATCAAACCGGTATAAAACGAGACCAAACTAAAAAGAGACCGATCCTAAAAAAGACCAGACCAAGACCGTCTGAGACCAGTCCGAAAAAACTTGGACCGTTTTGAGACCGACCCAAGACCGGTCTAAAAATATGACAGGTAGCCAAAGTTTATAAACATATCATTTTTTTGTTAACTACATATTATCTAACTTATTTCCTTTTTGCTTTTAATAAACTTAAGTAAATCATTTTAAAAAAATTCTAATCTATCATTTTTGTGTTAATCACATATTTGTTAATGAAAGAACTTGAAACTGAAACACAAAAAACTAGAAAATATCGAAAGCGAACCAAAAAAACTCAGTAACTGAATCAAAAAAGGTGCATGGAAAGACCGCGAGACCGGACCGAAAAGACTGAGACCAGTCCCGGAAAAGACAAGACCGAGAAAGACATGTCCGAAAAAGACCAAACTGAAAAAATATTGGCCCGAGACTGTCTGGACCAGTCCAAAAAAAGACTGGACCGTTCTGATACCTCCAATATGCAACTTTAGCTTAGGCAATGGGAATGCTCAATGATTAATACTGATATTCAACATCTTTATGTCAGAAGGAATTGTCATATTTCTTAAACCAATGAGAATCCCAAAATCATTTTGAACCTTTATGTATTGCAGAGTAAATAATTTCCTTTTAAGAATATTAAGTCTTTAGTCTTAAAACATATTTTTTTGTATATTTTTCCAAATTATAAGTCATTTGTCATGCATCCTTAGTCTTTAGTCTTTACCCATACATCTTAAGTCGTTCGTCTTTTGTCATGCGTTCTTAGTCTTTCATCTTACGTCTTTAGTCTTTCTTCTGAAGCAATAGTGAAATAATAAAAAATCTTAAGTTTTTCATTTTCACTTAAACAATTTAAGTTTTGCAAATAAACATCATTAATAATATAACAACATATGCAATGATTTATGCTTTTAATCATTCACAAGTCATCTTGAGTCTTATCTTCACTAGTCTTTAAGTCTTTAAATAGCGTGTGGAGCACTCTATATATTTGATATTTCTCCTATATAGTCTTTACATATTTTTAAGATAGAAGTGTGATATTGTCCCAAGTACTATACATGAGGTAGTGATGTGTTACTTATACATTAGTTTTAAATTTTCAAATCATTTTATCTCCACTAGTTGTTACACTAGGTAGTACATCGAATCGTGAAATAATATATGTATGCTAAAAAAAAGTGTCAAACACAAGGGGAACGGATACGATTTTTTGAATTATAAGATAAAACAATTAATTATTCTAAAAGAGAAAACTAAGAAGGTGGGTTTGTTTAAATTAAATTAAACTTGATTTAGCAACTAACAAAAGTAAACGAAAACAAAATCCTAGTTAATATTATAATGATTCCATTAAATATAACTCTCATCAGTTTTACCAATATAAAATTTATGATATTAGTCGCTCACCATGACATGTGTATACAATTATACATACATAAAGTGATGTATGCATTTTCTTTTCTAAGAGATTCTTAACAGAAAAATATTACCTAATAGCACATACCGAATTCATGGGCCTACAAATTAAACTATAAACCACCTAATTTGGTCTATAGTTTAATCCAATAATGTAAGTCCAAGTACTTAGAGCACACAAAAAAAATCAAAATTTAAACCTATTTTCAGTTTAAAGAAAAGTCAACGTCGTCAAAATACCTTCTCCTCCACTAGCAGTTTTGACTTTTGATTTCGCATCGCATCCCATTTGTTTTTTTCTCCGCTGATTCTTCCATCTCCATCGGCTCCTTGTTCTCTGGCGAAAATAAACCAAACAGGTGCCTGCTATTCTCATTTCAATCTTACAATCACTATTCTATATTGATCAGCAATCAAATAACTAAAATTGTAGGATTGTCTTGCTATAAATATATATTATGTGAATGAAATAAGATAGCACACTTTACTCTCAATTTGTTCACCAATTTTTCAGTTATGTGATCTCATAGATATAGATCAACAATCTTGATAGTTATGAGTTATGACAGATTTGCAATACAATCAATCTATTAAACTAGTAATGAATCTGGTGGATACGAAATTAATTGTTTGAAGTAGCCTCTCATAACTAATTACACAACTGTAATACCAAAAAAAAAACAATTTTTTAAGTTGATTGATAACATGAGTAGCCTATGACATAGTATGAGGTATAGAAGAAAACTAACTTTTGTTAGGGTGTTGAGTGTTGTTGACTATTGTATTTTTTGTTCTGCATAATTTACAAGACCACTTTGTTGTTTCCATCGATACTATTTCAATTATGCTTCAACACATTTAATGTCAATATCATCTCTTACTATTGGATTTATTCCTTACTTATTAAAGAGGTGATACTAATGATTAAAAGAAAAAAGAAGAAAAGAATCATACTTTCGTGGGTTTCACTTATCTTTATTCCTTACGTATGAAAAAAAAATGTTAGATCAGTTTCAGAATTATGATAAAGCAATGTATACATTACAATATCATTATTTTTGTTTATCCATGTATAAAGCATTTATAAACTAACAATTAATATTATGTAATTTCTTGATATAAAAATATTTACTAAGAATTCCATATAACAATGGACAAATCGGAAAACTTGGTTGGTAAATTATTAAAAGCAGATTAAATTACTATTAGGAATCACTTCTAACAAACTTTATTGATTGTTTCTTTGCAAAAGGAAAAGTTAATAACAAAAAAGGTTAAGATAAACAACTATACATGAGAGAAAAAGATCGCTCCATTTGGTTACTTTGCCACACATATATTCTCTTTATCCGTTATAAATAAGCTAGAGTGTTTAACATCAATATTGTAAAGAGAGACATATAGTTATAATGGATTTACTTGAAGTACCTGAACATGTGCATCCACTAAAGCTCATTGATTTGCAACTAGAGTATCCACTATACTATGAAGATGAAGAAGAAGATGATGATGATGATGAGGGTGGTGATCTGATTATTAAAAAGCACTTTCATGGTGTCCCTTGTGATAGGTGTGGTCAAGATATTCATGTGTACCATAAACACTACTACATGTGTATGGAAGATTCTTCATGTCATTTCTCTCTGCACAAATTTTGTGCTGAGCTCCCATCTATGTTAGAGTACCCATTACACCCACATCCTCTTATACTCGATGAAAATCAAACATATTCTTCATGCAATGTTTGTAAAAAAACGCATAATGGAATGTGGTACATATGTTCTAAATGTTATTTTAGAATTCATGTGATCTGTGCCCTAGAAGTAGGAAAAATTGTCATCCATCATCCTTGCCACCCTCACTTACTAATGTGTTCTATCCCTAATAAGCCTATTTTATGCGAATGTAGTGCTTGTGGTAAAAGACATGAAGGGATCTTCTATCAATGTACCATTTGTCATGGCTTCACCATACACACTGAATGTGCTTTCCTACCAAAATCTTTGTTAATCCAACAAACCACATATGATGCTTTTTATCATACTCATCCACTCACCATTTCATATTCCTTCCCAAGAAAAGACCAAAATGCTAAACATAATCCTAAATGCAGAGTATGCGGTAAACGGTTTTATAATACAGAGGAACTTTGGATATACAAATGCGATAAATGTTTATATTATGCTCATGTGGATTGTGCAACACCGACAAAAGATCCATTCATGTCCATCTTCTTGCCTCCTGGTAAAAAGATTATTAACTGACTACTTTTGTTAACTATTTATAATTACGTTTGAGATATACTAATCAACTTTATTATTCTATTTCCAATTTTATATATCAGGCCTTGGTAAAACCGTTAAAAATTACAAAGATGTTGACCATCCTCATCTTCTTCATCTCCCATTCCCGGATGAAACATACAGCTTACCAAAACACTTGTTTTTCCTAGAAAGTGGAACAAGCAATTATGAGGCAAACCTAAAAGATGTATTGCATCAACACCCTCTAATTCTAGTTAACCCGACGCAAATTGATATCAATTGTCAAACCTCCTCTTTGTTATTGAAGTGTCATAACCCAATGAAAAAGACCCAACTGCTCTGCAATGGATGTATTAGACCAATCATGTCAAGCATGTTGTTTTACAAGTGTGCTGAGGTAATTTGCAACTTTGCTCTTCATGAGTGGTGCGCTCGACTTCCCCCAAAAATAGATAAACACCGAGGTCACCCACAACATCCCCTAAATCTCATGCACTCAAACATCCCTCATTCATTTTTCGATGTGTTCTGTTGTGCTATGTGCCAACAACCTTGCAATGGATTTGCATATTGTTGTGTCGAATGTGGATTCTATATTGATGTTGGTTGTGGGTTTATACCTGAAGAAATCACACATAAAGCTCACCCGAATCACCTTCTTTCACTAGTTCGATCACCATATTCTTATTATAAGTTTTGTCGTATTTGTCTCACTTCTCTCAGGAGGTATGATTCTCTAAAATCTCATCTTTCATACAAGTGCAATGTTTGTAATATTTATATGCATCCCCAATGTACTTTGTTATTACCTGAAACAATCAAACGCAAGCATGACAAGCATCCCTTGCACCTAAGTTACCTCCCGATAGAGAACCATAAGGGTGAATATTTTTGTGAAGTTTGTGAGGAGGATTTGAATCCTCATAGATCTTTTTATCATTGTCAAGATTGTGTTCAGTCCATACATACGGTTTGTGCTAAATTGATACTTCAGAGCGAGACATACAATCTTTCTCATTACTTGAAAGGCCTTCATGATTTTGTGAATATAAAGTTTGGAGACATTCTTAAGAGTGATGGTCACCAACACCCTCTCTCATTTGCTCAAGGAATTGTGTCGGATGGTCGATGCAACATATGTTATAATAATTTTAACTGTGATATGATCTTTAAATGTCTCGAGTGTAAGTTTGCAATCCATTACAAGTGTTGTGAGCGTTTGAACAATTTATGAAGGTTCTAGTTTCTCTTCCACATGCATTCTTGAAAACACAAAATATGATGTGTAATTGTCGCTACTCTTTCTTCTTGTATATCTCCTTATTTTATGTGCAAGATGATGCAATAAATAAATTTAATTTCCCGTATGCATGTATGTCAACTACTTTTGCAATTTTTTGTTTCATCCCTAAGCATCTATTTATAACTATGAATCTAGTTAACTCTTCATATACTTTGTTAATTTGTTCCTGTGGTTGTTTTTGAATTGGAAATCAAATCAATTTAAAAAGTAGATTGTTGGAATATTTCTGTTGATGTGGGCCATGTGGCCTTATAATCATATTGTAGTAATTATTTGATTTTCTATATTTACAAAATATGATAATAACTATGCCAAAATGACATAACTATTACCTCAACTTACATAACTATTACTTGATGGAAAGGTAATATGATTTCCCTCAGATGTCATAACATGCACATAAATAAGAGTGAGATTTTCTTTTACTCTTGACGAACCTAAAGAACACAAATCAATTTCTTATGGAATTCTCCATCAAATTAAGACGGCATAACGAGAATTAAATGACATCTTCTTCTTAAAAGATTGGATTCTATCAAGTAAGCTCTCTAACTTTCTCTTTTGTATTTGAGCTTATTAAGAAGAGAATGAGACAAATTGATTTCTCGAACTTAAAGAACCTCTGCTAGCATAGCCTTATTGCTCTTAATCAGTTTGAACCAATTTATAAAGGTTAAATGGCACACAAAACACTCTTTTTACACAGAAATTTGATTTTGACAACATTTTTTTTTTGTCAATTTTGACACTGTGTTTTCCAATTTGTTACAATTCTGACCACTTGACCGGTTAATCAGGTTGCATGATGACGTGTCAGTTTTGATGACGTAGCATGCTGATATGATATGCTGACTTGTCAAAATTGATTTTTTCCCACAAAAAACACTAAGTTTTTACTTTTTTTCGATTTTAACATTAAGTTTAATTTTTTATTTCAATTTTGACACTATGTTTTTTTTGTTCAAACTGAACATCATTTATCAAATTTTGTTCAACTTTTGTCTATTTTCCATTTGAAACCGTATAAAGTTGTCAGAATTGTAACAAATTGGAAAACACAATATCAAAATTGATATAAAAAAACACGGTGTCAAAATCGAATTTTTGTATAAAAGGAGTGTTTTTTATGTCATTTATCCATTATTAAATACAAAATCCTCATTCCCATTTTTTTAACCATTATAAGTGTGAAATTAAAATTAGATTATGTGATGGTTGCATAAAATTAATCACTAAAAATGAATTAAACCAGTTACTTTATGTTAGAGTCACTTAAATTGGAGTCATAAGTAAGGACTTATATTGGACTAATTAAACTCCCATTTGTACGCTTTTTAGTATTGGAATCCGTCTGCTATATATTCATGTCTTGCCAAACAAACCATCAAATTCCCAACAACAATAATAAATGAAGTGAAAAAAAATGATTAACTAAAAAATATTAAATAAACGTTTTAATGTCTAAGCCCGGGTTCGAACCGGGGACCTCTAGTGTGTGAGACTAGCGTGATAACCGACTACACCACCCAGACATTTATGTTTAATTCTCACATTTTCTCTATTTTATACAGTTGTTTATTGGTGGAAACAAGGGATATTTGATATTTCCGCCAGATAAATGTTTGTTAATTTTATTAGAAAAATATGTTAGATGATTAAACAAATAATGTTGTTAGAATAATAATATTTGTAAAACAAAATTTTAGAGGTTTTCATTTAATTTAATGTGTCCATCGATAGATTTTTGGTATGTATAATCAATGATATTTTTTGAGCATATTAATGAGACTTATATATCATATGAGTTAATTTAAAAAAAAAAAAATTTAGTATAAAGGTCTAAATATTTAAGAAATTTAAATTTATAAGAAAATAAGAAATAATTAATTAGTAAAAACTGAAATGTTTTAATTTGAAAATTTTGAAATTAAAATGTAAGTTCATTAATGAAATTGATATTTATTTATTAGTATATTTATTATAAATATTATATTAAATTATTATGTGAAATTTAATAAAATAAGATAAAAAAACCATAAAATAACATGTGGAAAAAAATAATAATTCAAAATAACCATAAAATTACATTTGACAAATTGAATAAGAGTGTGATATGTGGCAAAAAAAAATATTTATTTATTATAGTAGATTTATTATTTGTTGAGACTACTAAAATGATTAATAATTAAAAAAATATTTAAAAAATTTATTGATAAATTTATGGGGATTTTTCACAAATTTTCCAGATATATACTTGTATGTTAAACTTTTTTTTTTTTTTAAGAATTTTATTTTACATGTTTTATAAAATTTAATTTTTTACAATTTTATTATATTTTTTTAACAACTATTTTTTCAACTTTTTACACATTTTTATAGCCTTTTTTTTCCCAGCTTCCTCTTACATATTCGATTTCCACATATTTTTTAAAGATTTATCGTTTTAACAAATTAATGCTTTTAATATTCACTTTCATTATTTTAAGGTAAAAACATATAAAAACTCTTTTTTTCTATATATTCTTCTTACAATTTGTAAAAAAAACAATTATGAAACAACATAGTAAAAAAGTTATAAAATAAGTCTGACAAAAGTTCTAAAAAATTAGGAGCGAACATGGTTCGATTTTTCATTAAAACCAAAACTATGGATGAGCAAAGGAACCGGCCCGGGAACCGAACTGGTGGAAAATAGGAACTGAACTGGACTATCGGTTCGGTTCCTACTGATTCTTGTCGTGTCTTCAAATGTTGGAACCGGTCCTCGAGAAATAGCAACATACCGATTTTTGCCAATTCTACCGGTTTTTGTTGGTTCTACCGATTCTGATTCCTACCAGTTTCCGGTTCCAAAAATCCAAAAGAATATCGTCTCGATCCCGATCCGACCGGTTTTTCATCGGATTCCGTTTTCGACCGGTTCTCCGGTCCATATGCTCATCCCTAACCAAAACCGAACCAAAAAGTTCGGTTTTTTATTTTGGAAAAACCAAACCATCGGTTTTTTCGGTTTCGATTTTTGATTTTTTTTTTGTTTTTAAGTTAATAAATTATTAGATTCAGCTCATAAGATTTTAAAAGCTCATAGTTATATAATATATATTTCAATACAAATATGAAATATGTCTGATCCATTTAAACAATACAAAAATTACTTAACATAAAAAAGAGACTGTGCTTACATTTTATATGCATTCTTATTTACAAATAATTAGTATGTGCTTCTATTTTATATGCATTCTTATTTACAAATAATTAGTATGAGATGGTTGAGTTAATTATTTTCCTTCATTTTAAAAATATAAAAAAAATCTTCATTTTTGAATCTCAATGGATATGCAATGTATGTGATTTGACTTTCTTAAGACTTTCAAACCTCTAACCTCTCCCACTGTATACACGTTTCATCTACACCATAAAATATTAATTTTTATTACTTTATGGATTACTTTACTAATGTTGTGATATTTATATATAGAACGACGTCGTTTTATGTATTTCCGTTCGTTTTTTTTTCCCTAGATATAAAGAAACCAAACTGAACCTAAAATATCAATTTTTCTAAAAACAATTTTAAATTTGTACTTCATAGACATTTATGTTTTTTTTTTTTTTTTTTTTTTCTATTATTAGTTTGGTTTCGTTTTTTTACACACACTATCAAAAACATAATTTAAAAAAAACTAGAAAAGACATCATGAATGGTCCCTGTAGTTTCTCAAAATCTAAAGTTTAGTCCCTGTGGTTTAAAAACGTCATAGACGGTCCCTGTGCTTTCAAAACTTTTGACGATTGATCCTTCTTGCTAACTCCATTAAGTTCTGTTTGTTAACTAAAGGGCATTTTCGTCATTTCACTACCATAGGGACCATTTATGATGATTTCTCTTATTTTATAAAAAAGAAATAATATACAAAAGGGTCTTCTCTCTCTCTCTCTCTCTCTCTCTCTCTCTCTCCTGTTTTCTTCTTCGTTTAGCACCACACAAACACCCCCGATCCTTGCTATTACTGTCCCCATTTCCTCTTCGTTTAGCACCACACAAACACCCCCGATCCTTGCTATTGCTGTCCCCATTTCTTCTTGATTAGACTACCAAGACTTACCCACCGGAGGTGGGTGGTCCATTCCATCGCCAAAAAACACGAATATGAGAGAGAGGAGGTCGTTGCCTCCATCCCAGCCTCCAACAAATCCTTTCCTATCGAAGCTCACCCCCCAAACACCTCATGTCGTTGCTCTCATTGTCTTCTCCTTCAATCTAATCAAGATGAGGTCACACGCCCCCACTCGACTTCTGATTTTGTCCAGTTCTTTCTCAAACAGGTGAGGGCCGAAGTCCTCCCTTCCCCTTTCGCGTTAGCCAGAAACGAGCAGACAAGAGAAGGGCCATCGGAAAATCCAACAACCCCTTTTCTTCTTCATCGATTTCAGTCATCGAACCACCACTTTTGACCACTCCATTCGATTTCCATTCCGATCAGATGAAGACGATGACCAGGGCGAAGATGAAGGCTCATCGGGGATCAGTTATTCCCTTTGTGCGATCTATTAAAAGCCCACCGGACCACATCATTTGCTGATTTCGTTTGTACTTCTCCCTCCCAATCAGACGGAGATTTAACCCACGAGGGTCGTCGGAGGTCGACGCCTCCCCTTTCTCGTGATATCTCAGCCTCACCAGAGATTCCTGATTTTTCCTTCTATTCGTTTGTTTCTTCATTGACCTGATGAAGACGACGATTGCTTTCCCTGTTTTTTGTACCAATTTACTCAAACCCACCTCCTTATTGTAGCACTTAACCATCGACAACTAGGTTAGAAATAACCACAAAGCTTCTTCCTTCCTTTCCTATACATCGATTCAAGAACCCAAAATTCAAAACATGTTTAGTATTTTAAGGATTGTGGTGGTGTTCATAACCAAATCCGATGAGGTCGGGAGGCGAAGGAAACTGTAACGACCAAAAATACAACCCAAAAATTTTTGGTTTTAATATCATCAAAACTATAACCAGAGTATCATATAAATAAACCATGCGTGATATGTCCCAAAATATAATAAAGTACTGTGCGGAAACTGTATCATACTACATCGAAAACAACAACTAAATCAAATCCAGACTAAAGCTGAAGCGGTGGTGTGTGCGATGCCGTCACCCAGAGCTCTTCCCTTTGCTTGCGGAAGTACCTGAAACCAAAACTGAAACTGTAAGCACTAAGCTTAGTGAGCTCCCCCAAATTACCACATACCATACAAAACATATAAACACATATTGGGCCTTGCCAACTGCATCGGGCCGAGGCCCGGAAACTGCATCGGACCGAAGTCCGGAACTGACTGGGACCTTGTCCCCTGCATCGGACCAACGTCCGGAACTAACTGCATCGGACCGGAGTCCGGGACTAACTGCATCGGACTGGAGTCCGGAACTGACTGCATCGGACCGAAGTCCGGAACTGACTGGGACCGTGTCCCCTGCATCGGACGAGGTCCGGAACTGACTGAGCATAGCATAGCATATCATAACAATTATACTGCATACTGCATTGGACCGTAGCCCGGAACATAAGCACATACACCTAGCACATAAACCATGTCTGAACCACGAAGGCATCAAACATACTAACTACTACATCGGACCGAAGTCCGGAACTACTATTAACTGAGCGGGTCGGCATTGTGGCCTTAGACCCGTCCCTACTGGAAGGAAACTCACCTCGTAAGCTAACGGATGAGTGTGTGTCTCGGAAAGCTAACGGCTGCTGCTCCTGAATCTCCTCGGCTACAAATCCATAAACACACTCAATCAATCACTAACACTACACTACACTCGGGGTAAAATGACTCTTTTACCCTTGGTCAAATTCGACTTACTCAGGGCTGACTCGCCGAGTTGGGATACCCAACTCGCCGAGTCCTAGACTCTCCGCTCAACTCTTACACGCTGATACTCGTCGAGTGTGGCATCGACTCAACGAGTACCCTCTGGATCCAAGAACTCAGATGATCTTCATCCGACTCACCGAGTCAGATGAACCGACTCGACGAGTTGTTCTTGATCCCCAAGAAGATTGCCTTGGACTCGCCGAGTTGTATGAACAAACTCGCCGAGTCCCTCCATCACTGAGTCTACTCTCAACTCGCTGAGTCCACTCCCTAACTCACCTCGTCCACTCGACACTGCTGAAACTGAAGAACTCGGGACTCGCGACCTGACTCGTCGAGTCGTTCATCCGACTCGCCGAGTCGCCGCCATGCAACATATTTTTACTCGATTTCTCTTGAATCCAACACATGCAAATGATAGATCTAGGTCCATTAAGCTGTTTTACCACGTAAAGTTTCCAACTTTACGTGCACAACCACATGAATAAGGGTAGATCCATGGCTAATATGCAATGTAACTCCAAAAAGGCAGTGGATCTGGACTCTACAACACCCCAACACTCAGATCCAAAGGTATTTCGGCTTATTAACACATTCAAGCAAACATAAAGCTTGGAACAAACATCAAATAGCCCTTAAAAGAGCACTAATGGAAGTTTAAGCATGTAACCAGAGGGGAACTCTGAAAATACCTCAATAAGTTCAGACTTGACCTTGGATCTTGGCACTAGAACTCGTTTCCTTGCTTCCTTCTTCTTCTCCTTCTTCACCCCTTCACAAAATGGAACAAGATCACTTATAAGCTCACAAATGGAAGGTTTAGGGTTTCTCACAGTGCTCTCAGGGGGAAAGTGACGAGATGGAGGCTATAATGGGGTTTAAATAGTGAGCAAACCCGGGGATTTAGGGTTTCACCCAGACGGACGGACTCGCCGAGTCCAGGATATGGACTCGCCGAGTCGCCGGCGCCCGCGTGCACAAGATGCGCGACCCGACTCGGCGAGTCAGGCTAGAACTCGCTGAGTCCCTCTTGAAAACTTAGTCCATAAACAATTTAATTAACATACCGGAAACGGGTCGTTACAATTCTCCCCCACTTGTCTCAGACTTCGTCCTCGAAGTCTGCTACGGCTGGATCTGCGAATAACTCCGGGTAGTGCGTTCTCATTTCTTCTTCAGCCTCCCATGTCCATTCAGACCCCTTCCGGTGTTGCCACTGCACCTTTACCAGCTGAATCACCTTGTTCCTCAAGGTCTTGGTCTTCCGTTCCAGAATTGCTATCGGCTTCTCGATATAATTCAGGCCGCTATCAACTTGGATGTCTTCCAAGGGAACGACTGCTGTCTCGTCCACTAAACACTTCCTCAACTACGACACGTGGAAGGTGTTGTGTATCAAACTGAGCTCCTCAGGAAGATCTAACCGGTAAGCAACCCGACCCACCCGAGCCAAAACCCTGAAAGGACCAATAAATCTGGGGCCCAATTTGCCCCTCTTCCGGAACCTGATGACACCTTTCCAAGGTGAGACTTTCAGAAGAATCATGTCTCCCACCTGGAACTCCAAGTCTGAACGCCTCCTGTCGGCGTAGCTCTTCTGCCGACTCTGCGCCGTCTGCAGTCTACTACGGACCTGCTGGATCAGTTCCGTCGTCTTGAGCACCACTTCGGTGCTCCCCATGACCCGCTGACCGACCTCGCCCCAACAAATCGGGGTCCTGCACTTCCTGCCGTATAACATTTCAAAAGGAGGTCGATCAATGCTCGCATGATAGCTGTTGTTATACGAGAATTCCGCTAAGGGAAGATACGTATCCCAACAGCCCCCAAAATCTAGGACACATGCCCTAAGCATGTCCTCGAGAGTCTGAATCGTCCTCTCGCTCTGCCCGTCAGTCTGAGGATGAAAATCGGTGCTGAAATGGAGACGAGTACCCATCTCGTCGTGAAATCGCTTCCAGAATCTGGACGTGAAGCGAACATCTCGGTCCGATACTACCGATACCGGCACTCCATGACGTGCCACAATCTCTCGCACATAGATATCGGCTAACCTTTCCGCCGATATACTCTCCTGGATCGGAATAAAATGGGCACTCTTCGTCAACCGATCCACCACTACCCATATCGAATCCACTCCATGTGCGGTCCTGGGAAGTTTGGTGATAAAATCCATGGTGATATCCTCCCATTTCCACACGGGAATATCCAACGGCTGCATCTTGCCGTGAGGCCTCTAGTGCTCTGCTTTGACCTTCCGGCAGGTCAAGCATCTCTCAACGTACCAAGCGACGTCCCGCTTCATGCAGGGCCACCAATAATCAGGTCGAAGATCTCGATACATCTTCGTCGCCCCTGGATGGATAGAAAATCGAGACTTATGAGCCTCGTCCATTAATACCTGCCGTACCCCGCCCCAGTACGGTACCCACACCCTACCATGAAGTGTCATCAAACCCCGACTGTCGTAATCGAACGAAGCTACTCGGCCCACTATCCTCTCACACTTCTGCCTCTCCTCCTTGAGACCCTCCATCTGAGCCTCCTTGATCCGCTCCAACAAAGGAGTGATCACCGTCATCCTCATACACAAATCCCTGATAGGGGCCGCCGACACCTTACGGCTCAGGGTATCGGCCACCACGTTGGCCTTCCCTGGATGATACAGGATCTCACAGTCGTAGTCCTTCAGCACGTCCAACCATCTCCTCTGTCTCATGTTCAAACTCGGCTGATCCATAAGGTATCGCAAACTCTTGTGGTCCGTGTAGATAGTACAGCGAACCCCATAAAGGTAATGTCTCCAAATCTTGAGGGCAAATACAACTGCCCCCAGCTCCAAGTCGTGGGTAGGATAATTAGCCTCGTGAGGCTTCAACTGTCTCGAGGCATAAGCCACCACATGGCCTCGCTGCATCAACACTGCTCCCATACCCGTGATCGAAGCATCACAATAGACCACGAAATCCTCAACACCCTCTGGCAAGGTAAGAATCGGGCCTCGCACAATCTCTGCCTGAGAGTCTCGAACGCCGCCTGCTGCTCAGGCCCCCAACGAAAAACTACCGACTTCTTGGTTAGTCGGGTGAGCGGCACTGCTATCTTGGAGAAATCCTAATAAATCTCCGATAATACCCTGCCAATCCTATGAAGCTCCGAATCTCAGATGGAGACCTCGGGACCTCCCACTGCATCACGGCCTCTATCTTGGCCGGGTCAACCAAAATACCCTTCTGGTTAACGAGGTGCCCAAGAAACTGCACCTCGCGCAACCAGAACTCGCACTTGGAGAACTTAGCGAAAAGTCTCTCCCTCCTCAAAGTCTCCAACACCTCCCGCAGGTGCTCCTCGTGCTGCCCTTGTGTCTTGGAATATACCAAGATGTCATCTATGAACACAATCACTGACCGATCCAGCATCGGTCTGTACACGCGGTTCATGAGATCCATGAACGCGGCTGGGGCATTGGTGAGCCCAAATGGCATCACCACAAACTCATAATGACCATATCGGGTCCTGAAAGCAGTCTTCTGTACATCCTCATCCCTGACCCTCATCTGGTGGTAACCGGAGCGTAGGTCGATCTTGGAGAACCAAGACGCTCCCTGGAGCTGATCAAACAAGTCATCTATCCTCGGAAGTGGGTAACGGTTCTTCACCGTTACCTTGTTCAACTCCCGGTAATCAATACACATCCGATGCGACCCGTCTTTCTTCCTCACAAATAAGATCGGCGCTCCCCAAGGCGAACTGCTCGGACGAATGAAACCCTTGTCTAGCAGCTCCTGAAGCTGTGTAGACAACTCATGCATCTCAGGGGGAGCAAGTCGATATGGTGCTTTGGCTATCGGAGCCACACCAGGAACCAGGTCAATCCTGAACTCAACCTGCCTCTCAGGAGGTATCCCCGGCAAATC